GGATAATTGGGTCCCCTATTAACATGTTCTCCCGTTTAGCATTATGGGCGTCATAGCCATAGACTATAAAAGTCTTACCCAAGGCTGAATCAAACTAAAATGTATATGTATGTATAAAGGGTTACGTCCTTAGCTGGCTAATAAGTAACAAGCTAAGCTACCAAGCACACAAACACCTGCGAACGGGGTTAACATGTATAATATTATCATTTTAGACTTCTTGGAAGTTCTGTTAGTACATTCAAGCGCACAGCACGACATTTTAATTGTCTGGTATTTGTAACAATATTCCCTAAAAGGCACAATCACCACGAACACGGCTAAAGCTAAAGGGTCAAGTACTATGTACTACTACTATGTACTACTAAGTACTATGACTAACTAACGTTGTAGCCTCTATGGTTGTAGCCTAGCAGAGTGGACAAGTTGCTGTTAGTTGACAGTGAGGCATGTACGCTATTCATATCTTAGACTGCACTGTAACTTTTATCCATGTATTTTTTCTTTTAATGTTTATTTTATTAGCTTTTCTTTTTAATGACTGATTTTAAATGCCATTTTCTTAATCTCTTTCATTTTTTGTAAAGCACTTTGAATTGCCTTGTGTTGGAAAGTGCTATATAAATAAACTTGCCTTGCCTTGCCTTGCCTTGCCTTGCCTTGCCTTGCCTTGCCTTGCCTTGCCTTGCCTTGCCTTGCCTTGCCTTGCCTTGCCTTGCCTTACGTGTCCATCAAAGTGACCACGCCCTAATTTATGCAAAAACGTTAAGACCTAATATAAATAAAAGGGTCGTGTTAGAAAACAATTCACTCACAGATTCATAATCATGAAGGTTGAATCTAACTATATCGATAATAATATGTATTGCATCCATGGGTAGAAACATGTTTTTTTCTGCTGTAAAGTTTGGCATTTTAACATGGGGGTCTATGGAAATTGCTCCTTTCTGCAGCCAGTCCCTAGCGGCCCATGTATGAACTGCAGTGTGTGGCACTTCCGTATTGGCGTCCCGGCTGTTCCCCAGAGTTTGCTGCTTGGTCTAAAGTCAAGGATCTAGAACTGGTACTTAGTTGTAATGATACAGTCTGGTTATTATGCTGTTTGGAGGAGGCCTCACAGGTAAGAGCACTAACTAGCTACAATCACATGTACCTTAGCTTGACTTAAATGTATTAAACATATAATTAAGTGATATCAAAATATAAATAACTAATGTCATGCAAACATATTAATATTTGCTTGATTCCAGTGTTGAATTTAGCACAATTGCATACAAACTTTAAGGGGTTTTAAGATTCTGAAGTATTATGCTAAAAACTCAATAACTTAGATTATTATTTATAGTTTTACTGAATAGTTTCATGTCCGCTTACCTTAGAAACGTAAAATGCCACGGCAGTGTGCAGATGGGGAGCATGTTAGCTTAGCTTGGTAGCTTCAGCTAGCTCTGGAACTTCCAGCTCGGTGGCAGCAGGTCCCGCCTCGGCTCCGCCTCTTTGCCCTTATTTGGAGCAGGCTGGAACAGGCGGGAGTTGAACTCTGACGTCACTGTCGAGCCGTTAGTGGCCGACTCCGCCTACTAAGGGCTTCTCGGCAACTCTGCAGAATCCTATGGGTGACGTCACGGACCCTACGTCCATTTATATATACAGTCTATGATTTGAACACAAACCCCCTGTTTGTCAAAGTGTGTAAAACAGGCAGATTGGACATCTCAACAGTGTGCTCTATCTCATACCGAGTTCCCATTGAGTAAAGCCTTAGAATAACTCTACACAACGAACATTAAATCATATTTTCATGTTGACAATATTGTATTTATTCCAGTTTAATGATTGTGATTGAAAAGCCTAAAGAGGCTGGTAAACATTTCAAAGAGGGATTTGTATTCCTTAATAATATTCATAAACTTAACCATGTTGTAGCCTGAGAAAGGCTAAACCATATAAAAGAATACATTTATTAACTACATTATCTAATTTAGCTGTAGCTTTTATAAACCAAAAAAAATAAGTATTGTTCAGTCGTTGAACCAGGGACCCTGTGAGTGAGTCAACTGCTTTCCAGCTGAGCCACAGCACACTCACTGATTCTGACTGAAAACACTGGACAATATTTATTCCTGTATTTATTCATTTATTTATTCATGTTTTTGTTCCTACTTTTATTTATGCTTTTATTCATTTATACTTATGACATGTTCCGACCTCTATAAGTGAGGGTCTGAGCTCTCTTAACTCCATCGTGTCACCGGGCCCGGGTACAGGAGGGGTAATATCGTTCTTATTATACATCCATGGGTAATATGAGCGTCGTGGTTCAACCGGGTTCAACCAGGGTTCAACCGATCTGGATCGCTTCTGAATCGCTTCCTTCGCAGTCACGTGGTATCGACAGGCAGCGAGGCTTCGGCCCATTCCCAAACCGCCCCCTACACCCTACCCCTCCGTTTGCGTGTTCACGCCATGGATGTATAATAAGAACTGGATACAGCGTGGGAGGCGGGGCCTCATTCATTCCTATGAGAGTTGCTCATTGGCGCATGATGATAAAATGGCCCTACTTTTGAGAAAGCGAAACGTCTCAGATTACCCAGCATGCCTGAGAAGTACCCGTATGTGCGCTCATAGCGCATGCGCAACTTTAACCAAAATGCTCGTTCACATCAAGCACGTCAATTTACGTACACGTAACAGCACCGCGCGTTCATGACAGCATGGTAATGAATTGCTGTTATGATGGATTTGATATTAACGAGGCGGCAGTTAGCAGCTAGCGGCTAGCTAGTAATGATGCTAATGTACACATCAATCGTTATGTAGGCCTACTTATATTACGTTGTAACAGGATCTAGTGAAATCCAAGCAACAGAGCTTCATATAGCATGAAATAATTATTGCACTGTATATATATACACACAGTGCAATAAGCTTCTTAGTGCAATAAGAAGCTATAGGGACGTTAATCTAACGTCGGTAATATTAACTTTATTTAATACAACATTTACGGTACAAGATTTACATCATATAGCCCATGTAGTATAATATTTTACAAATGATGAATTACAGCAAACATGTGCAATATATCCATTATTACAGCTCCGTGGGATGGCAGTAAGGTCCGTTGTTATTGTGCATCCATGGATAAAGAGAAACTCATGTAGTACTGAACACGTAACATGAACGTGCCGGGCAGCGCGGTCCCGTGGGTTAGATGCGCGTTCATAATGCCGAGGGAAATAACTCTCAGAATAACGTTATTAGCACATTTTTACAATTTGAGGAACGAATGTTTTTAATAAGGACTATACAATTGTTCATACTGGGTTGTTTATTTAGTTAAAAACAAATTATCCAACGAGTTACAGACCACTCTTTCCCCATGTAAGTCAATGAGAAAAAGTGTTTCCGGGCCCAGCAACCTAAAGGAAGTGTAGTACCGCCGTTTGGCCACAACGAATATTCTCATCAGACTCCGGCACACTTCCTGGGGGCTTGGTTCACGCGGAGGGTCCGCCATATTGAGGGCTGTTCCAAACCAACGAGTGTGGAGCGGTGTGGAGGGGGAGTGGGCTATCAAGCCCTCAAACAGCGGCCCATTCCCAAACCGCCCCCTACACCCTAACCCTACACCCTACCCCTCCGTTTGCACGTTCACGCGGAGGGTCCGCCATATTGAGGGCTGTTCCAAAGCAACGAGTGTGGAGGGGGAGTGGCAGGGGCGGTTCTAGGGGGGGCAGTGCCCCCCTAACACTGACCTGTGGCCCCCCTGTGGCCCCCCTAACAATGAAAAGTTTTTTTTTGTTTTTTTTAAATGTATATTTTCTGGTACTCGGTTTGCCAAAAACCGCAGGATTTTGTTGCTGACTGAGATTGTGCAGACACACTTATGTAAAGTAGAGATGTAACTGTTCATTGCCCTTATTTTTATATAAATATGGTGTTAGTGCAAACATTGCAATATAACTTAAGCTGAAGCTAACAGCAATAACTCTAAGATCTCTCTGAAATAAATAAGTGTACTGAAACAAATACCAATAACTGTATTGCATTGTTTTCTTATGCGCAATTTCTTCATACTGTCTGGTTCTCTTTTTCGTCCTGCATTTATTGTGCCCCCCTCAGAAAAATAACTGGCCCCCCAGTGGCCCCCCCAGTCAAATTGGTCTAGAACCGCCATTGGGGAGTGGGCTATCAAGCGGTGCTGACTTGAGACCGGTCTCTATCCTGACCGGTCTCAACGCTGTGTGTGTCCGTCAGGAAACAAGCTGTTTACAAGTAGTTCCAGCAAACATCCACTGATAAACTGCGATGTTAACAACCTCATGATAACCTCATATGTTTTTAACTTAGGATCGTACCTGTGTTTAGTCTAGAAAAAGGTAAATGTGTGCATTTTATTATAAAGTTGCGTATATTTACAGACTGTTGCAAAAACTAAATTCAGGTTTAAAACTAAAAGAGCTTTACAAAAAAGTAACACAATAAAAGATGTTTGGAGTTTTATTTGAGTTATTAATTTAAACTTTTTGTCAAAGAGATGCTGATTTGAAACCGTTTTTACATACAGTTACGGCATTTCCTGTTTCTGCCGGAGAGAGGGGAGGCCGTCCCGAAGCTTGCTGCTGTATTTACTCCCTCCATCTGACAGGAGGGACCCTCGTTGAGCTGTGGCTACAGACGGAGTTCACTCCGTCACGGAGGGGTAGGGTCGAGGGAGTGGTTTGGGATTGGCTTTAGTTTGTCATCGATGACGTCACTGGCCCAAAACGATACAAGCCTAGATACATGCTTCACAAAATACTTCGGGGATTACTCGACACACGCTCCGAAGCCTCTGCGCAATACGTAACATCACTATGTGTGTGAGCTCCAGCAGTACTGATCCATCATCTGTGTGTCTGGATAAACCTCCAAATGGACTCTGTGCTCTTTTTTCTGGAGCGTTTACCTCGGACTATAGGAGCTAGCTTAGCATGCTAGCTGGAAACACGTTAGCAACACTAGTCAGATTGAGAGTTTGATGGAGAGAGAAACGGTGTGTTTAACGGAGTTTGCAGGAAAAGGTGATCTAGTAAACATGAGTAGAGTCCAAATGCTGCTGTCGTTGAAGAAGCAGCGACTCACTGCTGCTGCTGCTGAAGAGATATTTGCTCTGTTTGAAAAAACGATAGCAGAGCTCGAGGAGGAGCTGTCTCGTTCAAAAGAGGAGAACGAGAGACTCCAGAAACTACTGGACGCTGTTTTACAGCCTCAGCTTCGGATACACAGAACAGGTCTGTTCCCTTTACTCTTAATTAACACTTTAAACCAGGGGTATCCAAACTACGGCCCGGGGGCCAAATGCGGCTCGCTGGCCATTTTGAATCGGCCCTTGAAAGTATAATGAAATATGGCCCAAAAAATGAAAATGGTGCTTTTCTTATATTGTACTAATTAAATATATATATATATATATATATGTACACATATATTACACAGTAGTATTCATGTGTTAATAAGCCCACTTTTAAAATAAATTCAGTCAATTCATGTTGATAACATTTTCTAACAAATCTTAGTTGATACAAAAAAGCCTAATAACTTATTTACATAACAAGCTTGAAATAGACCCTATGTCATCTTATTATAATCACTCTGAGACTTCTGTTTTTAAGGGATGAGCTGCCAACAAGATAAATGAAACCCTATAGAGAGCTGTGATGTAGGCGTTTTTTTTCTTAAAGCATAATCATGTATCGAGCCTAATTTACCTACATGTTGCTAACTTATAACTTAACTGATGAGACGATAAACCTCACCTTTATGAGTGGCGTATATTTTTCTGTATGTGGCCCTCGGTGAAAAAAGTTTGGACACCCCTGCTTTAAACTCTTTGGTAACACTTAAGACTATTTATTAGTGCTGGGCAACGATTACACATTTTAATCATGATTAATCAAATAATTTTCTGTGATTAATTGCATTGTTATGCACAACATTCAATAATGAATTTAAAAGTAGTGTATTGCACACTTTTATTTTAAACAAATAAGGTTATTTTTGAACAATAGTAGAACTATTCCCTTTACAGAGTAGCATTTCAAATATTTCTTGTAAATCTCAAAAAACATGAATGTAATAAAATATAAAACCAAAGCTATTTGCCACTGCCAGGGCATTCACGTTTGATCTAGTTTGTTATAGAAAACAAGTTAGCCTCCGAGTCCAGTGATAAGGAAATTCAACTTTATGGTGGTTACACATAAATCTGGTTCTATCAACTCTGCCGCCTGGACTAATTACAAATATCCATGTAAGAGTTTGGTACCTTTCTCCATGTTTCTGTCTCCACTAGTGTTGTCACGATACCACATTTTTTGTTTCGATACCGATACCGAGTCAATAATTAAGATTTCCATACTTGTTCGATACTTTTCTTAAAAAAGGAGAAACAGTCTTAAATGTCGTTATTGTGCTTTATTTCAAACCTGGAAAAATGTTTCAGTCATAACTAGGTCTGCCAAACGATTAACAATTTTAATCGGATTAATCACAGCTTAAAAATTAATTCTAACCATTAACCATTAACCATTCGAACTATGTCCAAAATATGCCATTTCTTTATGTATATTGTTGTGGGAATGTAAAGATAAATGAAAAAAGGCGGATATATCCGTTTAACATTCAGTATGTATATATGTATGTATGTTTATTATAACATTGTTCTGTGTGTCAACATGAAAGACAGCCCACACACCTATCAATCATCAAACCGTGGGGTCTTATTTCATTACGTCTTCTATCAACACGTAATGTTGTATCGATGTATATAGAGATGTACTACAGCAAAAGTATTCTCCATCGGCACTTCCTGCAACAACACCACGCCGTTATCTTGATTCTGATTGGTCAGAAGACATTATCAAAGATGTTCTATTGAGAAGACGATCACTACGTGACAAAAGTTTTCAAAACCGTTTCTAGTCTTCGGTATTTCCAGACAACTGGCTGAAATCAATCTTACTAACTGCTGTCGGTGCAATTTACTCCGCGAGTTGGCAGACTTTATTTAGCTTACTTTAACATCATTGTTCATGGTGGGGCTAAGCCATTTCTTGGTATGGCTGTAGCCTACCCCAGCCATACCCTGGCGCTGCCACTGGTGGGATGTATGGGGTGGGCCATTCTGCGCATGCGTTAAATATTTTAACGCAATTAATTCAAAAAATGAATTACCGCCGTTAACGCGATAATTTTGACAGCATTAGTCATAACACAAACTTTTGAACAATGAGAACAATAAATAAAATAAATTTAAAGCAATGGCATTCAAGGTCAAATGACAAGAGTTATGATATTAGGGTCAGATCGCTATCCCTTTAAGAGAGAGAGAGGGGGGGGTGGGGTGGCGCGAGTGAGAGTGTTTTGAAGTGAACGAACTAGCAGCAAAATAGGTCTGTCGAGTGTCTTCAAAGTTAGATCTGTAACAAAGACCTTAATAAGTGCAACGGGCTCCCAAAGAAGAGCTCACCTGTCTGCCTTATTGAAAAGTGGATTATTAAACCCGAAGTGTGTTGCTTCGGCCCTGGTAGACTGCAGAGAGTCATCCCTTGTTTTCATCGTCTACGGTCTGGGAGCCAACAGGAAAGTTTAACACAAGAATACATATGAACTAAAATAGCAGCATCATCTCAAACAAGGAGCTTAGAGGAGCTGACATCGGCTGCAGGGAGTGGAGGCAGAGCGCTGAACACAATCAGGAAATACTGCTCTTATTAAAACAATGTAATTCTTAACAGGTTAAATTACCGATACTAATTAAATGGAGGAATCGTAACGTTTTTAGCGGCAGGGTATAGTGATACCTTTCTAGTATCTGTGCACCGTGCAACACTAGTCCCCATCACTTATTTTCTGTTTTGGTTCATGTGAGCACTGCAGCAGTCTAAAGCCCCTGACACACCAACCCGATTTTGGGAGTCAGAGGCAGTCAGGCTTCAGGTGATCCTGTAGAGCTGTGTGTCTCAAACTTTTTTCAGTCATGTACCCCCTATCAGCGCAAAAACAATTTGTTAAGGAAAAAAAGCCTATATAAAGAGGTACAGTACAGCGCTGCACCATCAGTGTTTGATTTATTAAAACAACAACATTGTAACTGAGAAACACTTAAATGCTACATTTCAAATGTTTACAATCCATCACTAAATTCATGGAAAACCAATTTTAACTTCATGCAATAACACTAAGAAGACATTAGCTGCATTGAACTGAACTTTTTAATTAATTGTACTTACAATGTAGTGAAACATGGGCTTGAGCTTCACTGAGGATCTTTGTCATTCTGACAGCGAGGCAAACTGCAGTTATTACACTTCGCGTTTTGAAATATGTGTAACTCTGTTCATATAAAATCCACACTGCTCAAACTTCGTTACTTTTCCTAAAATTGGTATATTTTTATATTTATTTATTTTTGGGGCGTGGGGAATGAAAAGAAAAAAATATATGAGAATTTTATGAGCATGGGATTTTGACCCTTCATATAAACACATGCATAATGCTGCGCTATACTTTGCGGCCACACGCCGTTGTCAAGCAACGCTTATTGTTTAGGTCCTTTTTGAAAAGCAGGCAGTCATATAATTAACTAGAACTAGCTAGATCCGATAGATTTGGACATAAAGGCGAAAGAAGTATAACCGGACGGGAGAGAGAGATCAGAGATCAGATCAGCTGCTGCTGACGGAGAACACGCAGCTCTGATCCGTCACAGCTCCGCCGCTATAACGAATCGTTGAGCCGAGCAAAATACACTAAGAGTTAGACCTAACACACATAGCTAGTTTATCTACTCTGGAACTAGCTAAACTAGTTATAAATATATTTATTCTTTACTGTCGGGTCACTTATTACAGGTTCAGCGAGCTGCACGAGACTGACGGGCTTTCAGGAAAGGGAGAGGAAAAGAGAGCACCCCGTTTACTTTTCCCATTTTATTATCCAGAATTACTTTAAACTTTTGAATAAAGTAGTTAATCTACTATTAGTAGTTTGTGTAAATGCATTAATTATGTTTTTTTTTTCATTAACATAAAATAAATCTCACTTACCCCCTGCAGTACTCCAGCGTACGCCTAGGGGTCCGCGTACCCCCATTTGAGAACCACTGATGTAGAGCTGTGTGTCTCCCTCAAACTCAGCAGCTGATCGGATCTCTGATCCCTCTCTCTTGTCCGGTTATACTTCACTCACGTTTATGTCCATATCGATCAGATCCAGCTCTCCTGATCGGCCTTTATAGAGAGCACCGATCAAACTATTAAGAGTGAATATCAGCCGTTAATGATCGGCGGCCAATCAATCGGAGCATCCCTAATTATTACCGCACATTTTGACCGGCATGTTTTGAATTTACCGTTTTTTTAAAAATTTGACCAGCTAAAAACCGGTAATTACCGGCTAACGGAAACCCTGGTCCCAACCTATCGTCTTTGTATACAGTCGGCTAGCAGCTGAATCCCCTCTCGCAGCTGTGTGTCTGCAGGAGGTACTTAGGATGTCTGCAGGAGGTACTTAGAGTAAAGTTGTATATATATATATATATATATATATATATATTTGTATATATATATATATATATATATATATATAATGGCACTGTTCTAGTGGTAAAGAACATGTCAAGCTATGTGCTGTATCAGAAACAATGCGCTGCGTGTTTTGGGAGTAATATCCCATCGCTAACACTCAGAGCTAACGCTGTACTGGAGAGAATATGTGTCACATAATGTCCTTGCGGTAAACCCTGCGAGACAGAAACGTTTGAGCTTCATACTGTTTCAGAAATAATGCTTGAAGTGGTTTGGAGCATAATATGGCATGTAATCCCAGTAGAAAACTCTCTTAGCAGGGGAAAGCTGCATGGCTACAAAGGGGCGTGGCTAGCAGCAGCTGTTCCATTTAAAGCAGAATCAGCCTTTTTGGAACAGGGCTGGAATAGAGGGGTATGAGGCATGGCTACAATGGTTAGGTATGGCCCTACAATATATTTTTCAAATATAGCATAATAGGTCCACTTTAAATAAGGTTTAAATGCAGGATTTTTTATTTGTAATAGAGTATTACCATTCTATAGGCGTAGTGTAGCTGTGAACGATCCCAAATACAATGCATGAATTAGGGCTACAAAATGTCTCCCGTTTTAATGATGATTAGATTTTTAAATGCTAACACTTAACAGTTTTTTCTGACTGTGTGTTTCCTGTTTCCTGTTTCCTGCAGACGTACAGCTGCTGGTGGTGGTTAAAGAAGAGCTTCTCCCTGACCAGCAGGAGTGGAGCACCAGTCTGGACCAGGAGGACCCAGAGTGCCCCCCATACATTAAGCTAGAACAGGAGGAACTCAGGATCAATCAGGAGGGAGAGCAGCTTCAGGAGCTGGAGGAGGCTGATATCATCAAGTCCACTTTCACTCCTGACCCTGTGAAGAGTGAAGATGATAAAGAGAAACCTCAGTCCTCACAGCCTCATCAAAGACAAACTGAACACATGGAAACAGAAGCTGATGGAGATGACTGTCGAGGACCAGAACCTGCCAGGAACTCAGTTCCAGAAAGCAGTTTACAACCAAAGACTGAGGACAACACTGGAGACTCTTCTGAACCTGACTCTGGAGACTCATCTGAACCTGACACTGAGGACAGTGCTGATTGGAAGGAGACCAGAGAACCTGCGTCAGACTCAACCTCACTGAAAAATAGACAAGAATCTGTCAGTGATTCAAGCCGTAGTGCTGTAAAGAAACTATTTGGCTGCTCTGTGTGTTCAAAATATTTTACATATAGAAGCAATGTTCAGCGACACATGAGAGTCCACACAGGAGAGAAACCCTTTAGCTGCTCAGTTTGTACCAAATCTTTTGCCTCGAGCGAAACTTTAAAAAAACACATGAGAATCCACACAGGAGAGAAACCATACAGATGCTCAGTCTGTGAGAAACCTTTTTCACAGAGAGAAAATGTAAAGGACCACATGAAAATCCACACAGGAGAGAAACCACACAGCTGCTCAGTCTGTATGAAAGCTTTTTCACGGAATAGAAATTTAAAGACACACATGAGAGTCCACACAGGAGAGAAACCACACAGCTGCTCAGTCTGTAAGAAAGCTTTTTCACAGAATATACATTTAAAGGAACACATGAGAATCCACACAGGAGAGGAAATATACAGCTGCAATGTTTGTGACAAAAGATGTCAATGTCGTAGTGATTTCAAAAGACACAAGTGTGTTGGTCGTCAGTCCTCACAGCTTAATGAAATTCAAACTGAGGATAACAGAGAGGCAGAGCCTCCAATCAGCAGCTCAGCAGCACACATGGAAACAGAAGCTGATGGAGAGGATAATGAATAAGTCTTAGACAGTTCACATATGAGACAATTCTGTCTGACTGGATTAACATTGTTGCACAACATTCATATAAGACTTAAATGAACTCCATCTTTATCAACATAAGTGGAGAATATGTTTATTGTTTTTGTCATACTGATGTTCTGATTTATATGTTAACCACTGACTATTGATGAACCATTTTATTTTGGATTAAGGGCTCCAAGTTTCCATATAGAGATATAGGATGATTTGATGTTTTGTTCTTTATTTCTAAATGTTTTGTATCATTGCTATCCTGTTCATGAGTCCTGTTTTACATAAATGTACCTGTTCTCTGATTGTTTTTGCTTCTCTAACTGTAAGGGAATACATTTGCCTATTTTGTATCCTGATTACCCAATGCCGTTACATTTAATACGTTACTCCCTAAGCCTGATTTCACCCACCTGCAACCGATTCACTAATAATCACAAATGTTCATTTATTTGACCCCTTGACTCGACTATTTCTTGTTTGATAATCGTTTCATCTCCTCAGGAGCAAGTTCCCGTGTCCTGCCTTTCACCTGCTGATCACCCACTGCTCATTTAAGGTGGACTGACCTTTACAATGAACCAGCTAATCCTAGTGTCTTAATGCAAACGTTTTGTAAAGTGATGCTGGACCAAAAACGTGCTGTTGGGTCGTGTGCTCTCTGCAGGACGGTATCTGTACTCAAACATTGTTTATGAAATGAGAGTTTCACTCTGTTTTTGTTGTCCAAACGACGGCAACAGACAGTGATGCAAATTAGTCGCTTTTCGGCGCCACCCGCTTTTTTAACGCTGATTTGGGTGACTTGTGTAATTCATGGAGAACCGAAGATTTTTGGTTTTGGGGGGGGGGGGAGTCCGTCCGACTGACGGAAGGACAACTTCTCACTTCAAAAAAGAAGAAATCTAGATCGCAAAATAATTAAATAAGTGAGTGCCTGTTTTTCCTGGCCAAGGACAGGTTCCTTGAACACAACACTCGTCTGAAAGGAGTGTATACTAGAGTGCTGACGGAGAGCACCGAAACGCCGCTCCAGCTCTTTAAATATTGCAGTACCCATAAGGAGCCGTACACATGCCGCAGTGTTTGCGTGGCTGTGTCTTTAGTTGTAAGCACAGTGGCGATCTGTTGTTATTAGCATCTGGTTAGCTAGCTATGCTAACGAATTTAAAGAGCTTTTCTACAACCAGGTGGAAGAGAGCTCTCTCCTGAGATGCTCAAATAACCTCAGCTCAGTGAGGTTAAGGCACACCTTGATATGATTATTATAGTTATTAATGAGACATTAGAGACTAAATGAAAAACAGGTATAAAATACTATATGACGGTAACAAAAAAGTTGTTAAAAATAACAAGAATAGTTTAAAAGGGGAGTGATTTGTAAAATATCTAAAAAAAAATCTGCTTACAGTTCTGTTTCTTATGGGTGTTGAGAGATGTATCCATAGATCTCCTCATGTTGCTCTCAAAGTGCACCAGATTGATGCTTTTAACTTTAAATAAAAAAATCTTCCCGGGGGAGCATGCCCTCGGACCCCCCTAGAGGAGGTTAGGTCCCCCCCACTTAAATCATGTTCAAATGGATAGGATACTAAATACATTTGCACACATTTTGTGTCCATGTCCTTCTGTTTTGGTGGTCATGCCACAACCGTGCACGTGCACATGCATGCGCGAGTCATGGTAAGATATCTGGATTAAGAGGTTGCTTTTTCTTTGCACAACATGAAAGAAAGGCCAAATGAATGGGCTATGATTTTAGTTTTTTTAAGCAGAGGTTGAGTTCAATCATTTGTACGGCCCTCAGTGGATGTTGTAAACATTGAAAGAAAAAAGGTTCCCCACCCCTGCTGTAAATAATAATAAAAACCCTTGATTTATAACTTAACATCTCTGTCTCCTATTGATCTGAGTATATTATAAAGAATAGCCAGTTCATTGAAGCATTATAGCACAGGTCTTTGTCAGATGGTATATTACGCTGTTTTTTTTCTGCTTCGAATAGCTCTCTTTTTTCACCATACCTGTGTTTGCATTACTGAACAGAGCGATACGTCTTCTTTCCAGCAGATGTCATCCACATATTTATGATTCAAAACAGCAATGTGTAAGATATGGCTAGTAATTGACTATTTCAACAGAATGTGAAGAGGTTACAGTCTTGAGGCCATGTCCAATATGTTTATGTTATGTGTGATTAAATCTACTGAAATGAGCATTCAATGACTAAATTATTCTTAATTACTGTCATCACATCATGGGTTTGCATTGCAATATGAGAATGCAAAAAACCCAACTTTATTTCTTTTAAAGGGGACCTATCATGCAAAATGCACTTGTGTACGTCTTTTATACATGAATATGTGTCCCCGGTGTGTCAGGGAACTCACCAAGTATCAGAAAACACAACCCTCTCTCTTTTCCTCCATACCCAAATCTCTAAAAACGGGGCTGCAACAGAACTGATTATTATTTGAATTTTTCTGATGTCAGAAAAGGGGTGCTCTGCCTATATGGGTAACTCTCCACCTATCAGGGGAATGAGAGACCGCTCGAAAGCGCTGGAGACGCTGTAGTACATATGCCAGGCCTGTAAGTGGCGCTGTAGTCTGCCACAAAAGCAGAATCAGCCCTTGCAAAAACAGGGCTGGAAAAGAGCAAATAGAGCGAAATGAGACATGGCTAAAATGCATGATCTGTTTGGTATTTTGAAAAAAAAACTTCACAGACATGTTTTATATAGGTATGGCCCTACAATATATGTTTCAAATATAGCATGATAGGTCCACTTTAAGTTGCGGGTTGTTCATTGTTTAGAAGTCTACTGTGTTTCATCTAAGCTTCCACTTCGTGCTCCGATAATGCTGAAAGTATCTGTTGTATGCTTTACCTGCTCCAGTAACAAAAGTGTAATTCACTGGACAGAGACAAGAGATCGTGGATGGATCCAGAAAAGGACCAGAAGATAGTCCGTATAGAGCCTTCAGGTTCTGAAAATGAAATACCCATAACAAGTCAGAAAAGAAAAGGGACTTACTTAAGGAAAAAGGTTCTGAACCAGTGAGAGTTCTTCATTTGCACATAAACATGGTAAAATATTTAAAGTTGTGACCAGATGGTGTCGTCTTCTGCACACACTTAACGTTTTGCATTTTATTGATTTAGTTCGTCTTTTATACCACACTGCAAGTCTGACATTTATTAATGAGATGACTGGAAGTTACACTGCAGATGTAAACGTTTATAAACACAGCTCAAGTCTTTCACAGCCATAAATATGTCACCTTGTTTATTATCTTAAGTGGCAGTAATCCCTATGGGTGTTGTACCACCATCAAATCTATCAATACATATTTGGAACAAGTACCCTCATGAATATAATGGGTTGATTGTCAGACAAATGATTGTATACATATTTTCCTAATGATGTTTTGTTTCCACAGTTTGGTTGGACTTATTTGACTCTGCTGATCGTGGTGACTCAGGCCCTTCCTCATCTAATCAAATCCCCCCCCCCCCCCCCCCCTCGACTCCTCGGTCCTCCGGTAGTGACCCGGAAATGAATTTCAGCGAGCCATGTTGAAGGACATCTAATTTCTCTAAATGCACTTCGAGGACCGAGGATCGAGCGTTGAGGAGGCTCTCTGGAGGAGCTATAATCGAGGATACACTGATGGGTCCTCCACGGCTCCTTCGCGGATGCATTTCCAGCAACAGTGATGTTTCATAGAGTCGTGACGCACTGCCGGACTTATCTCAGCCAATGACAGCTCTGCATGCATCCTCTGGATATTATTTTATTCACTGCTTTCATCGCGACGCGATGTTTACAGTGAGAACAGCTGTGAGGTCCATGCAGAAAGCAGAGCAGTGTGTATAATATATATCACTCAGTATAACAGGCCTACTCTCTTTATTTGCTTTAGTTTAGTAGATATCTATGGTGGCCCTGAAGTGCAAGACACCACAGCATTTCACAAAATGCAACAGCATTTCAGAAAACACAACAGCATTTCACAAAACGCTGCAGCATTTCACAAAACGCCACAGCATTTCACAAAACGCAACAGCATTTCACAAAACACCACAGCATTTCACATTGGACGGAAAGGGTATTCCTTAGGGAGAACACTTCTTGTTTGTGATTGGAAAGAGCCAGCCAGAGAAGCACTGCTGTGATTGGTTGTTTTTGCTGCCAGTCAAGAAATGACGCTTCATGATTAGGCCAACACATCAGCTGTTAGCTGTTAGCACACACTCAGAGCTCACAGCTCCTCATATCTGTTCAGAAACTGGACAAAAGTTAAACATATACAAAACACAGACTGTCTATGTCATGGCAAATACAGTCGCTGCTTTATTTATGTCTGTATGACGTTGTTGTGAGTGTGGACGGAGCAGCTACAGGTTAGTTTAGCCTGATCGATCCGATTCCGATAGGATTTACATGGAGATACGCCCCGCCCCCTCTCCAGCGTCTTGTTTGAATGACAGGAATAAACACAGAATTAATTATGTATTAATTCATGTTTTTTAAGGGGCTTATCTCCATGTAAATACTAAGGTAGACCACCCAATATTCGCATCGCTCTAATCGCTCGAGTATCACTGCGGCTGTCAGCTGTTTGCTCAACACACTCTCACTCCATAATCATCCAGGAGCGACGCTTGGTCAGTGCCCGTGGCGTGCAGTTGTGACGCTTATGGAAGCAAACAAGAGACAGAAGTATTTGAATTTTATTAGACACCGAATTTATAGCATTGAAAATAATTACTTTGAAAATCATGAATCTGAATTTTTTTTGCTCCGAATTTATCTATGTGAAATAAAAATGTAAAAATTCAAGTTAAAAAAATTCGAATGTTCAAATTCAGATCCCACACATTCAAGTGAAAAAAATTCGACATCAAATATTTCGGTGTTTAAAATTCGATGTAAAAAAATTCGGTGTGTAAAATTCGACGTCAAAAATTGCGATGCAGCCTCATCCGGGCTACTCAGACAGGATAAGCAATCGAGTCCGAATGCAATCAAACCGACTTCTGGCCTATCAGAGCCAAGCGGCAAACCCCGGGACAGTGCGGTGAAGCCCAATGCTGCAAACTGTAGGCGATGGATGCAGATGGGAGCAATTCCCGTAGACCCTTTGTTAAAATGTCCAACTTAACATCAGAAAATGAACATGTTTCTAGCCTGGATCTACAAAAACATATTCTGTATATAGTTAGATTCCCCCTTCATGACAACGGGGCTGCTGCTCCTAGCTCCTCTCTGCTAGCTCCGTTAGCTCCGTGATGCTACAGC